CCCCCAACGAAGCGCACGACGAGGACCGACAGCCGAACAGAACGGGAAAAGAGGCGAAGGAAAAAAGGGGGAGGAGGAGGAGAGGGAGAAGCTGATAATCTTGGAGGGGCTTTTTAAATTGGCTCCTTTGACGCCAACACGCCGGGATGAGTTTCATATCGGAATAATTTTCGAGACCCCTCCCCCCAACTCTCCTCGCAGTCGCTCCACTCTTCATTCGTTCGCCCTCTCTCTCTCTCTTTCTCTCTCCTCTATACAGATATGTAAATATGTACATATAATGTTTTTTTTACCCTCAACCTCACGTACCAGCCAGAAATCACATTGCTGATTCGTTAAATACAAGATTGATCCCGCAGCCTTCCTCGTAAAGTCATAACCAATATTATTGACGCATCAGCGGATTTTTTTTCTGCTGAAGAAAGAGTGAATTAGAATTTTGTTTGAGATGTGGTGGGTGATGTGAACATCAAAATGAAATTCATATGATCGTAAATTTTTTCCAAATGTATAAATCAAGACTTTAAAGAAGAAAAAAGGAGGGAAATAGTAGAGGACTGGTGGCACCAGCGACCGATCGACAATTATTACATTTGTAATATGCAATGATTTGGGATTCTTAAAGTTGCTCTACCCTTCGCCCGGACAAAATACTTGTTTTGATTATAAGAATTACTGAAAAAAAATGAAACAAATCAAAAGTGACATAATTTGCAAAATTCAACTTTTCAACATTTTTTTTCGAAAATTCGTTATTACGAGCATCTAAAGATCGAAAAAATTTTTACTAAAAATATTCTTATAGGCAGTAAAAAATGAAAAATTTTAACGTTTAATAAATCAAAATCGGATGGATTTTGATTTATTTATACAGAACTCGATTTATTGAAAAAAAAACGGAAAAACGAGAAAAAAATCATATCTCCAAACTGGGCTGCCGAAAAATTCTGAAAAAATTTGAGAGATAGTTTTTCAACCCCCCAATCATAGAAAAAATCGCCATCAATTTCCAAGAGGATCATTTGGCGTGGAATACCTCATAAATTCCCAATGTCCGATGATTGAATATCGAAATTGTGAACAAATACATCACTAAAATTGAATTTACCTGCTCATGATCCATTTAAACTGTTTTCTCATGTCATATCTCAATGGTTAATACTGACGAAGCCTTTGGAAAATTCCAAACTAATTTAACGATGATTTATTTTAGAAAGGCTGAAAAACTGCCGGATGTAATGACCAAGTAAAAAACCACAAATTGAGATAAAAGGTGTGAAGAAGTGGTTTTTTCCTCTCCATTCATATTCCCAACTGCTCCCCCCATGGAAAGTCCAGCCATCACCTCACACACTCAGCAAATACCAATAAGTGCACCTATTACCCATTAAATATAAAAGTGAATCGTCTTCCTCCCTTGCGACTGCTAACATCCGTCAGCGGTAGGAAAAAGAAAGTGAGAATTTCTCAAAACAAACCGGCGTTGGCAGTGTTGATTAATGCCCGAGGAAATGAAATTGGTGAGGCGCTCGGTTTGAGAACCGGGAAGATGGATAAAATAAAGTAATTGTTGCTATTACCGAGCGTAAGAACCCGCGGACTTTTCCACCACCTCTGTAACTCTGTGTGCGTCGAGTGTGATTATTAGCGTGTGCACAAGGGATTTTAACGCAAATGGGAGTTAGTGAGAGACGTTCTATGTAATGTAACGTTGGACTTTGTGAGAACCCAAGCAATTACGAGTCGACCATTCAGATCGCAATCCGCCGGTACTTCATAACTAATTAATTTAGATGTCTTAATTGCACTCGGTTAATTGTTCTGGTGCACATATTCGTGGTTCTTAATAACTCGAGCTCAAGCTCAAGTGACCGCTGCGGTATTTCAATGAAACAGATAAATGAATGAATACGTCATTATCATTAGTTTCAAAAACGAGTGAGTGCCACTCTTTTGAGAATAGAATATGAGAAAAGTGTTGAGCTTGCCATTGTTACATCAAGGAAATGATACTATTACAATCACACAGAGGATTGAGACTCATGATTATAAACACACATGAGCTCTCACTTTTCACCTGGGAAAGTTTACGCACCAAGCGTGTCAATTATAATGTGCAGTTAAGTAATCAACGATATTTCAGCCATTATCCCTGTTCCGGTGGAAGACTCTTGTTGCTTTACCTTTTTCCCCGGAATATTCCGCAAGGAAAACATTAGCGACAACAAGATTTCACGTAATGACATGTGAACGTCAGTGAAAATTATTCCGAGATATAAGTAGAATGAGAAAAATTTGCACTATGTCTTCATTAAACTAGGGCGTTAAGTAACTGGCGATGAGAAACACATTATCATTGGCTATGAAATGTTGAGAGGCGCTTCTAATTCATCCTCCAACGTGTAATATTCATAGCGGTATACGTGAAAAATAATAAGTGTGAGGGGTCCACACATATGATAGCAATCGGTGTGTATATTAACTGGCAGTCGAGTCTATGGCTTCTCTGCACGATAGCCCAATAAAACGTTTTCAGGCCTATACCGTAAAATGGTAATTCGGTGCGCAACCATGTTAACGCATTTTCAAATCCCCTTTATATCATTATCGCCGTAGTATTCCCCTCTAAATCTACTAGTATAATCACTGATCAACTGTCTAATCATGCACACAATGGAGCCTGTAATGAAATTCAATGAATTTTCTCATCAATTCACTCGTACCTTTTTAAATAATTTGCACCTCTCTATTACTACGGTTATTTGTGGGTGTCCACATGAAAAGGGCCCACTTTGACGGTATTGGAGTTAGGGGAGGGTGGGGCAAAACGGCCCCCCTACAATTGTCAATAACTTGTGAATGATATCGTGAAAATTCCCAGTTTCAACTTCATTTTGAAGATAATTTTTCATTCTTCAAAACGAGCTCTAACTCATCCCAATCGGATTATTGAATCGGAAAATATTGACGATTGAAGGGGGGCCGTTTTGCCCCATCCTCCCCTATGTATGTTCCGATAATCTTGATCAGATTTATCACATTTTGAGCCCAAAATCAATCCGATAGAATGAAAACTGACGTCAGTATAGACGATCAAAAAAACAATTTAACATTTGTTTAAGAATGTTCGACACCCTTTTAGCCAAAATTGACGTTGTTTTCATTTTTCTGGCAAATTATCGATAGTGACGAGAAAAAATATAGCGATTTTGTGGTTTGTCATTCTTTAATGGCTCACGAAGTTGCGCAGTGGTGCGATAATTTTCATGCGCATTTTCAAATCCCCTTTATATCATCATCACCGCACTATTCCCTACAAATCTACTAATATAATCATTAATCAACTGTCTAATCATGCAAACGATGGATCCTGCAATGAAATTAAATAAATTTTCTCATCAACTCACTCATTCCCCAACACCACACTCTCGTAGCAAGGCGAACGACCATCGTCGGCTCGATTTCGTTTTTACACACGCGCATTTACCCCGATTGCTGAAGAAAATGCAACAAAAAAAATCATTAAAATTATACTGCAGTATTAATCACAGCCTTTGCTGAATCATATATTTTTCCGGATTACTGTATCACCTCTCTTCAGGATATCCCGCACCAAATCAAATCAGCTATACTCCAGTCAACAGAGTCGGCATCATACATCATCTTTATTCAATGCTTTCTCTCCAATTTCTCATTCCCACGCGGATAAATGAAGTCAAATAATCAAAAAAATATATAATCAAATGGAATTTTCATTCTTTGTTTCACCGCGTGCTAGTGGTTTTTTTAACTTTTTTAATGGGTTCTAAACCGTCTCCATACTCGGATACATTGAGTATTCTGGATCTCTTCAGCATCCCCGGTTTATGACCACTCGTCTGGCCCGACTGTTGCTTCCTCACTTTTTCAGGGCTGCAAAAGAAAAAAACAACCCTAAAAAACATTATAGACATTTTCGGTAATTCGAAGTAAACGACATGTGGTCCACTCGTTATGCGATGGCTGTGTGTCGGTGAGGACAGCCATTATAATGAGAAATCGACAAAAAATGATTCGCTTTAAAGTGAGATTATAGCGGTGAGCAGAGCGTGACTCCAATGGCCGTGCCGAATTCTATCTCCTTCCCATCCACATTTTCGTTTTTATTTCATTTTTTCTTTCATAATACCTCGCCCAGATCTCTTAGATCGTAGGCATGTAGACATTTTCTTTTTCGTCAACTGTGGGCCAATCCAACATATTTGAAGAAAAAGGTGAGAAGGAAAATTGAAGAAAACAAGCGGGGGACGGCGAGCATATGACAGCGCGCCATGTGACAGTGAGCATGTCACTGAGTGAGGTCTTATTTTTTTCGCCATCAATAGACTGATGGCGGGCTTACGAATGGTCGCAAATATTGCAAAAGTTTGTAGCTTCACAACACTAACTAGCAGCAAAAATTTCGGATGGTTACTGCCACCTCCATGGGTTCTATCAAAATTCCAATATTTCGAATACTTCGTATGAGCGGGTGCACATATTTTCTGTCCAAATTTCAAGTTGATATCTCGATTTTTGCACGAGCGAGAGTGTTTACAAAGTTTTTTATGAAAAAACGGAAAAACGGGAATATCTCGAAAATTTTGGATGAACGGGTACATGTGTTTTGATTGATTTAGACAGAAGGCATCGAAACGAATGTTTTGAAAAAAGAAAAAGTGAAATCGGTTGCGAAGTTTTGAAGATATTCCATGTAAAAGATTTTCAGAAAAAGTCGAATATCTCCGAAACTACTGATGCGATTGAACCCATCTTCAATACGAAATATTGTTATTATAAGAGGAAGATTCTGTCCAAATTTCAAGTTGATATCTCGATTTTTGCACAAGCTAGAGTGTTTACAAAGTTTTTTATGAAAAAACGAAAAAACGGGAATATCTCGAAAACTTTGTATGAACGGGTACATATGTTTTGATTGATTTAGATAGAAGGCATCGAAACGAATATTTTGAAAACAAAAAAATCGAAATCGCTCCACTAATTTTGAAGATATTTCCGGAAAACGATTTTAAAACGAATGGCTTTTTCTCCGAAACTAGTAGATCGATCGGGCTGAAATTTTGCACAGAGTTAGTCACCATTAAGACCTATAATCTGACAAAATTTTCGATTTTTTGGAATTACTTTAGCCACTTAATTGCTCAATTTTCAAAAAATTGTCCACCGAGACGGTTGCGGTGGATGCGGTCACCTACAGACATTGTCCCCATCTCCGTATTTTCACGTTTCAGACCATTCAACATCATTTCCAATCAAAACTAAAGAATGTGAAAACCGAAGGATTGCAATGTTTCCATTCGCAAACAAAAAAAAATGTATAAAAATTTGATCACTTAAACATTTAATGAATCTCGAGTGTCTCTTGTTCCCATCGACTTCCGTAAGTTTTCGGAATTGTCCAATCATTTCCAATCAAAACTAAAGAATGTGGAAATCGAAGGATTGCAATGTTTCCATTCGCAAACAAAAAAAAAATGTATAAAAATTTGATCACTTAAACATTTGATGAATCTCGAGTGTCTCTTGTTCCCATCGACTTCCGTAAGTGTTCGGAATTGTCCATAAACCGGAAACGGTGGTCGCATCAGTCTGTTTAATAGCCGTATTGTATAATTATGAACAATGCCAGTGAAACCAGCGCAGAATTGCGGTAGGAATTGGACAGGTGGTAGAAGGCCTATACATGCCCCCCCCCCCCCCCCCCC